TATATATATATATATATACCAATGTTGTTATTGAATTTTAACTTTTGACATTTTAACAATATTTAATTTTTATTATGAAAGATCTTCTATCAGTATAAAATTGTGTGTCAGTTAATGTGATTTTCCTAGAATTTAATTTTGGAATAATTAATGTTTTAAGTATTCCAAATCATCAGAAGCTTTAGGAATTTTTCTAAAATTAGAATCACAATGTTTGTGAGAACCATAGTGTGTCTGAAAATATAATTTACAATTAATTTCTAGTTTTGTTTCATGGTATCAGAAAATAAGGTATGTATGATTACCACTTTGAGAAATTTATAAGATTTTCTTTGTAATTTATTTTATGATTGTTTTTGGTAAGTGCATCGTTGAAAGTTGATATTTAATCCTATCAACAAACCTGTAAGTAAGTCATTATTGTTATTTTAACTTTCTTAGGTGAGGAAACTGAAGCTTAGCAAGGCTGAAGAACTTGATGATGTTAGTGTGTAAATGGCAAAGTTATATTTCTATTCCCAAACCCTGAACTCTTAATCTTTATGTTTTATGTTCTTTTATTTTGGTACCTGTATGTAGGATTCTTTCTTTATTTTAAAATTCAAAAAAAAATCCATGTCATGTATAAATGTTCACATCTTCGTTAAATTTGATTGATTAATGGTGAGTCTTTTGTATCTGAAAACTGAACTCTTTTCTGTTTAGAAAAGGGTTCTGTAACAGCTTGATATGACATTTTCCTAGCTCCTTTGTTTTTTTTTAAAGAGAGATTTTTGCTGTAGGGTATATGCACTTACTGGAGAGACAGAAAGAGACAGAGAGATAGAAAGAAAGAAGTGAGAAATTAACTCCTAGGAGGATGGCCAGGCTGCAGTTCCTTCTGCATTCTCCTCCTCGGACTCCAAGTGTGCATGCACACACCCAGTGTGTTTCAAGCCTCCAGGTCTGGGACTCGAACTGCAGTCGCCCATGTGGGAATCCAGCACCTTAACCACCTCTCCATCAAAGGGTCTATTACAGCTTGATTATGACTTTCATGCATTTGCCTAGTTCCTTCTTAAGGAAAACAGTAATTGCCCCTTTGTTCTGAGTCTGGGAGCACTTCCCTGGTGTACCATCCATGCTGTTGACCAGTTTCTCTGGGGCATGATTTGGTTGTCAAGGACCATCATTTATATGAAACCAATCACAGGAAATGAGAGGCACCTTACATTTTGGGAAGAGTGCGGTGCTGGGATGAAATGTATTCTTTTCTGTGGCTGACTGGTTGGCATGAAGGAGGCACTCATCTCTCTAAACTTTGATAGTCTCATTTAAAATCAGGAGGATAGAGGCCAGCAGATGACCAGGTAGTTGAAGTGCTGAATTTCCATATGGCCAATAACAGTTTGAGTCCTAGACCCAGCAGTTTGAAAATCGAATAGACTACATGTGCATGTGCACCCAAAATCCTGAGAGGAAAAGGGATTGCAGTGTGGCCCTCCCTCCTGGAGGGTGGTTTCTCACTTTTTCTCTCTCTGTCTCTCTCCAGCAAGCACATGTGCTCTATTGAAAAAAGAAAAAAAAAAAAAAAGACCAAGGAAGATAATAATTGCACACATGCCTCACTAGATCAAAGAAAATAAGGTCAAGTGCTATAGAAATTGAAAAGTACATTTTAAACAATTAAGATTTAAAAATTGTATTTCTAGTCTTAGGCCCAGGACAATGATGAATAAATACTTCTATAAATTATCATTCCTGAGCCAGGCACTGTGGCGCAGGTGTACAGTGCCACCGCACCATACTGTCACAGCCAGGCAAGATGGACCCTGTTGGGAGGAACTGTCTCTCTCATTCCCTCTCCAGAAAGAAAGAAATCTAGAAAATATGTATCATTGCTGAAAACGAACTAGCCTTCAACCAAGAGTCCAGGACCATCATTTGCAAATGAGAAAACTAAGGTCCCAAAAATTGAAGTGACTTGCTCATAGTGTCCTAGTGTCCTAGTTAACAACAGATAGGGATCCAAACTCTGTAGCTGGCCAGCAAAGAGATTTGTGTTATTTTTATTTGGGCTACAGACACATTTTTCAGTCAGGAACAATATGGTAAAAGCTGATTCACTTGCTATAAAGGCACTGTGAGGCCTTTCAGCGACATTTTTCATATGCTGATGCCTCAGGGAGTTAATTTGGGGTGTAGGCTTTGAGCCAGCTTCACTGAATGCTACCAGGTCTCTTCCTTGGTTACTGTGTGGTGATTTTAAAAATCACCCTGCTGGATGATAACCACAACTTCCCTAGGGAAAGTGCAGTTTGCAAAGCTGAGCAGGTTCCTTAACTTGTTCTTGGGATACTCTTGTTTAAGGAAAACTCTAAGTAAAAAGAAAACTAAAAAGGCAAAATGCTGCTCCACTAGAGATCCTTAGGGAACATGATTTCAGTAATCTACGACGTCCATAATATTACAACTAACACTAAATGAAGAGATTTGTATCCAATCCAAGGATAAGATGGTAGACTAGAGAAAGCTCCCCGCAAAAACAAAACACAAAAACACGGTGTCTTCTCCTCAAAACACCCAGATGTGTGTCAAGTGATCAGTGTTTCCATTAAAACTTCAAAAGATGGAATCCAGATGTTTCTCTCAGCTCTGTGCTCTTTGACCCCTGATGCATTTACTTACTCTTGGAGTTTTGGTCACATGACTCTCTGAACTTTATGCTCTACCTAAATAGCTCTGAAATTTACTCTATGATAATGGAGCATAGAGTTGTTTGGGTTGAGGATCAATTTCATGTCTATGAAGTGCTGCTGAAACGTTTTCTTTTAGCTCTTTTCAAAAGAATGTCTGTGTTTAAGTCATGTTATCATTACTCTATCTGGAATTTTAAGTGCTAAACATTTTAAGTGCCAAATGTTTGGCCACTTTAGCTATACAGAGTTGAAAGGAGTAAAGGTACTAATAGGATATACATTATCTTTCTTCAGTAAGGCAAATAGAACATTAATAGACATTGCTGGGAGGAGGTGGACTGAAATGTTTTAAGAAACAAATTGATTAAAAAAAATATTTCTTGGTTTTCAGTAACCAACCAAAAAACCATCTATACTTACACAACATAGCAACAAAAAAAATTGCTTTGAGGAGGATAAACTGCCCTCTGTCTTAGACACAAATGTATAGCACCTAGCCACAGGATGGCAACAGAATTGTTTGAAAATTTAAAACAATAGTGTGTGGAAAGACACACCTTGACAGTGACAACTATTCAATAGGGAAAGTCAGTTGTAATGTATGATGATAACTGAAGAATGCCACATGGGAATTTTTTTCCTCTCACTCTATAGGTAGTTCCCAACTTGTTCAGGAGCAGTAGTTATAAATGTAGATTCCTGCT